ACACTCGGGCCCGGCCCGGGAGCTGACCCCCGACACGCTCACGACACCGGGAAGTCACCGCTGCTCCTTGGCGGCTTCGGCTTTCAGGTGAACGGGGACAAGAGGAGCTTTGCAAAGAACCAAACCGCACATCCGGCTTTTCCAGCCCTTGCGAATCCACCCAGTTAACCCCCGCGCTCTCCCGGCTCGCTCAGAAGGGGTTAAGGAGCGAGGCTGCCCTGCTCCCGGAGGGGGAGAGATTTTTGACAGCAGACTAATTCTCCCATGAGCTAAATGCAGCTATGAACCCTCGGACAAACACTGCTGCTTTTCCTCAGCTGGCTAATCTGTTTGAAATCTTCAGAGGAAACTTCCAATTTTCTTTTTTTCTTTGGGGGGGGGCGTGGGGGGGAAAACAAAAATTTGTTTGAAAACGAAAGCAGAAAATAAACCCTTTATGCCTGTACTCTTAAATGGAGCCAGTACTCCTCTCGCCTTGCTTTAAGCCAGCGAGCTCATTCACTATTCGAGTGTTTCTTGTAAAGAAACCTAAGGAAAAGTCAAACGGCCCTCAAGTGCGAGCAGCAAACCCAGGAAAGCCCGTGGCACTTTGCAGGGCGGCATTAAATTGATCTTAAGACGATGGTTTCGATTAAAGCCACATCTAAGAGCGGGGCGGGGGCTTTCGGGAACACCCACAAGGCCTCCCGTTGTGAGGGCGACCCCCGAGGTTCTCCCATCCAGCAGCGACAGAGGCTCTGGCGCAACCGCCGGGATCCCTCATACTCCTTCTCCTAAGGATCAGGAGGCATCAGCCCAAGGGGGCATCACGCGCAAGTTCAGATTTTTGCCATCGTCCAAGGCAAACACAGCGCAGTGCCAGTTACTGACCTTTCCTAATGACTGTCTGGTCATGCATTAACAAGTGTTGATCCTCCACATTCTGCAAAGAGAAAGGGAAGAAAGTTGCAAGGTTCTCCGAGGAAGCGCCCCGCTAAGGATCAGGAGGCATCAGCCCAAGGGGGCATCACGCGCAAGTTCAGATTTTTGCCATCGTCCAAGGCAAACACAGCGCAGTGCCAGTTACTGACCTTTCCTAATGACTGTCTGGTCATGCATTAACAAGTGTTGATCCTCCACATTCTGCAAAGAGAAAGGGAAGAAAGTTGCAAGGTTCTCCGAGGAAGCGCCCCGCGCGGCCGCGCGCCGCGGGGGCTGCCCGAAAGCCGCCGTTTTCGCCCCAAAGCGCGCGGCGCGGAGCTCCTACCTGCACCTCCTCCATCTGGTGCGCCATGTCGTGCAGCCCCAGGTTGTCGGCCAGCGCCGAGGCGTCCAGGCCGTGGCCGTGCGGCAGCAGCAGCTCCGCGCGGCGGTAGGAGTCGCGGCGGGCG